GCCAGCCTTCTGGTTAGCAGTCAAGTGCCTTAGGCATTACACTACCAGAGCTCCTACCTTTATCCATAAGCATGCACTGTAATCGTGATGCAGATATTCACTATTATGGAATAAAAGTTCTAATGTCATTATCTTATATTCATGAGTTATCAGTATTATTAATTAATAACAGCCACCACTTACTGAGCTCTTTCTTATTTTGCTCCAGGCACACTGATAAGTGCTTCTCCATGATTAAGGAGCTCTGGTGGTGCAATGGTTAAAGTATTCAGCTGCTAGCCAAAAGATCGGCAGCTCAAAATTACCATATGCTCCAGCAGAGAAAGAAGAGGCAATCTGCCTCTGTAAATATTTACAGCCTTGGAAATCCTATGGGGCAGTTCTACTCAGTTCTATAAGGTCACTATGAGTCAGAACTGACTCAATGACAGTGGGTGGGTAGTGGTGGGTTTATAGAAATACCTCACTTAATCGTAACAACTTTATTTTAACCAACTACTATAGTGGTTAAGGCATTTGGGGGCTAACCCAAAGGATGGTTGTTTGAGCTCATTAGCTGCTCCATGGAAGAAAGATGAGGTAGTCTGCTTCCATAAAGATTAATGGCCTTGGAAACTCTATGTGGGGGCCACTATGAGTCCAAACTGACTTGATGGCTAAGTTTGATTTGGTTTAAAGCCATTTTACATGTGTAAAACTGGAGGCTTAAACATGAGGTAACTTTCCCAATGACAAAATTGAGAATCACACTTACTTATGTTATATTCTCTAAATCTTAGTGTTTATATAGTCTCTTCTATTATATAAATCAAGGAAGAATCCTGAGATAATAACAAGAACTCACATTTATTAGACAGATTATTATATATCCTGACCTTATATAGTGGTGCACTGGTTAAGGCATTTGGCTGATAACCAAAAGGTTGGCAGTTCAAACCCATCAGCTGCTCTGTGGGAGAACGATGAAGCAGTCTGCTTCTGTAATGATTGACAGCCTCAGAAACCCTCTGGGGGTTGCTGAAAGTCAGAATTGACTTGATGGTGGTGGGTTAACCTTATACTAGGAGTCCCTGGGTAGTGCAAATGGTTAAGTGCTACACTACTAACTATAAAGGTTAGTGGTTTAAAGTCACCTAGAGGTTTCTCAGAAGCTTCAAAAAGCTTACAGCTTTGACAATCCTACAGAGTAGTTCTACTCTGTATACATGTGGTCACTATGAGTTAGAATCAGCTCAACAGCCACCACCTTGCACTAGGAGGCTAATTTGTGTATTAATTTAGCTATTTACTTTTATTTTCATTCATTAATTCAATCAAGAAATTAAATGTACATCTACTAAGTGCTGGGCACTATGCCTTATATATGATATTCCTAATTTGCACAATTACCATGAAATTATCCTTATTTTACACATGAGAAAACTGAGGCTGAGAAGTTCGATAAAGATGAAAGTACTCCTGCCCTAAACCTACCACAAACACATACTTCCCCCAAACCCCAATGAAACTATAGGTATGGGTTGTTTAACATCGATAACACATTCTGTGAAAACAGAACATTATATGATTTGGTTGTTGTGTGAACACCATGTGTTCCATATGGTACACATGTATGTAAATAATCAAAACACATATATCAAACTAACTCCCGTGCAAACTGCTCTGGCTTTCCTTTAGGGCCCAGGGCCTCAAGATTTACAAACTTGCACCTGCAAATGGCTTCCTCTGGTCACACAGGGCTCCCTGAACAACCATAGGGAGTCTGGTCAGAATCAGAAGCCCAGAGGGATATAGTGGAGCAGCTGCAACCTAGCATCTCCCTGCAGGGACCCACTTGTGGGGTGGCTGGGTAGCTGCAGAAGCTGCAGCTTGGGGACTGCAGCCAAGCTTCAGCATCCTTGGGAGCCAAGCGGCAGTTGCTGTGGCACCACAAATTCAATGTTAGCCCTTCCTCCTGGTCCCCCCTTCCAAACAAGGCCCTCTTCCCCATCCCACGGTCATATATGTGGTTGATGTTGCCTGAACAGAGGTTATACAGCACATACCTGTACACTAATTTTAGTTAGATTATCATTTAATAGTTACACTTTTTATTTAAAAAAAAAAAAACAAAAAAACTCACTGCCATCGAGTCAGATCTGACTCATAGCGACCCCTCCTCCTTGGGTTTCTGAGGCAGTATCTCTACAGAAGGATATTGCCCAGTCTTCCTTCCAAGGAGTGGCTGGTAGGTTTGAAGCGCCAGCCCTCGGGTTAGCAGTCAAATGTCTTAGGCACTACGCCACCAGAGCTCCCACACTTTTTATTATATAAATAATATTCACAGCATATAAAACTAAAACTAAACCCACTACCATGGAGTTGATTCAGACTCAGAGGCCCTAGAGGACAGAGTAGAACTGCCCTATAGAGTTTCCAAGCTTTATGGAAACAGACTGCCTTATCTTTCTCCTATGGAGTATCTGGTGGGTTCAAATCACTTACCTTTTTTTAGCAGCTGAATGCTTTAACCACTGTACTGCCAGAGCTCCTTTCAGCATACAGTTTCCAATACCTGTTTTTCACCCCCTAGAATTAATTGTTTTGTTTCTCATTTGGTCACTTTTGTATTCACAATTCACTTCCAAGTATTTCTCCATTTGTGTATATCTCCTCTCCATATGCTCACATCCTAGGCATTTCCCTGTCAGTTTCATCTTTTTGAAGAAACTTCTCCCAGAACCTGGTACCCTTCTTCAATCTGGAGTGCTTTCCTTCACTAGTTGCTGTACAGCTGTCATTTGAAGAGCTATTTTCACAATCATGTTAGATGTACTTTTGTCTCATTTTGTTTTATAACAATCTTTTTTTTTTGGATGGACATTCAGTGGGTCCCTTCAAACTGGAAATTCATGCCTATGAAATTAAGTTGAATTACTTTATTGATAGTCTGCTTCTATTTTCTCAAATTTATCTTTCTAGAACTCCTGTCATTGGGCTGTTAGATATACTGAAGTATTATGTTAATTTTCTTTTCTCTTTTCATCCATTTCTTCATCTTTTTGTTCAACTTCCTAAGAGATATCCTCAACTTTCCTTCTAACCCTTCTGTTATGGTGTGAACTGTGTTCTAAATCTCAAAAACATGTGTTCTAAATCCTAACTTCTATGCTTGTGGTTATAATCCCATTTGGGAATGGGCTTTATTTGTTATGTTAATTAGGCAGGATTAGGGTAAGGGTGTATTTTGAGTCAACCTCTTGAGAGAGATAGCAACAGAAAGAGAGAAAAAGAGAAAGATGAGATAAAAAGTATGTAAAAGGTATGCTAGCAAGCAGAGATGGGGGAAGAGAGAGGCCACACAAGAAGACTTGACTAGGAGCAGAAGCTCATAAAAACAAGGACCTTCCTCTAGAGCCGACAGAGAGAAGAAAGCCTTCCCCTAGAGCTAGCACCCTGAATTCAAACTTCTAGCCTTCTAACCAGTGAGAAAATAAATCTGTTTGTTAAAGCCAGCTACTTTTGGTAATACAGTTATAGCAAAACTAGATAACATTCTGAAGTGTTTCTTTATGTTACATTTTTAGTTTTCAAAGGCTCTTTTTATTATATTTCTGTTTGTGTACCCTGTTTGGTTCCATGGATATAATTATGTTACTCAGAGTGTCTGCTGATAGTTGTGTTTGTCTTAAAATTTCCTTCCCCTGTATGGTTTATTATCTCTATTGTGTTTTATCTTTTGGTTTTAGTTTTTTTCATATAAAATGTTCCCAAAAATGTGTGGTGATCACTAATACCTCTTATGGTTAAAAACACGGAAAAAAAGCTGCTTTGAAACTCTAGTATCCATTAGTGAGGCTTCTGAACTGTAATCTTTCCCATCTGGTTATCTGGATGATCAGTTTACAAATGAAGAGCTTTCCTGAGAGTTAGACAAAATTCCGAAAGAAGACTCTTTGAACCATCTGCTTAGAAGATATGGGAAATACAGGCAGTGAATGAAGGAAAGAAGCTGGGAGCTCTTAACATTCAGTATGTAAACATTCATTAAATCCCCTTATTTTAAATGTATATCTCAGCCTTCAACTGTAGTTGGTAACATCCAAGTCCAGAGATCTGTTTTATCCTCTTCAGAGAATAAACTGGTTTCCTGTTATTGTAAGAGAAGGGCAGTCAGCCAACTTGGCTTTTCACTCCTGGTATAGAATTCAGCTTTCTCCTATACTGACATTTAAAATTCATCTATTTTCTGGATTCTACATTTTGTTGTTGTTGTCTCCTCTCTTGTTTTCTTTGTCCTTTGTAGGTTTTGTCACTATAGTAGATGGGTGGAGGAAGTAGAATTTAAATGTATGTGTTCAATCTGCCATCCACAACTGGAAGTTCATTTTACCATGTATCTTATTTCTCTATATTTGACATATTGCATAATCTAATCTGGATTTGCGTTACCTTAGATTATACCCCTACAGTTATTGAGAAAGTGGTCTTTGAGAGAGTTATGAATTGGAGAGATTTTAATGTGATCTTCAAGTATTCAGTGAAGGCCCGATTGCCTTATATAACATAATGAAAGGAAAAGATACATATTTGACAAAAATTTTACAAGCTTTCTTAAGAATAGATTTATTTCCTAAAAATATTTTTTAGTTTCATTTGTAAAACATCTAGCTCAAATGGAATACAAGTTCAAAGATTGAAATATTTTTAATCTCATATGGTCTAATCTCTTTTCTATTAAAACAAAAGATCACAAGGCATAAAATCAAATCATACCACTAATCATAAAGAGAATGCTCATTATATATTTTTGAGTTAATATGTGCCTGTCACATAGTAAGTACTTAATAAATACTTGTTGAAGAATAGATAAATGCAATTAATGTCAAAAGCAGGTTCTCTATTAATTATGTGCTGTTGTTGTTGTTTTAAAACACTGTATTAACCATAGTCAATCCACCAAAACCAAACTCACTGCCATGGAGTTGATTCTGACTTATAGCAGAATCCTATTGGGTTTCTAAGGCTGTAAATTTTCACAGAAGCAGACTGCCTCATCTTCTGCAGGGGGGCTGGTGGGTTCCACCAATGGGTTCATCCAATGATCTGTGGATGAACAGCCAAATGCCTTAACCATTACATCACCAGAACTCCTTATAGTCAATCAGTAAATAAAATTATATTATCCCTATTAAGTCTCAGTTTACACTTCATACCTTATATCCAAATCTGAAGGCTTCTCTCCCACTGCCAACCTCGTAATCTCTCCCTGAGACATGGTCTTATGAAGCTTTGTTTGTTCATCAATTGAAGAAAATCGCTGTGAAGTCTGTAATAATTTCATATATGAAAGACTTTAACACCAAATAACTATAGGATACATAGTACTGAAAGTAAAACTCAGGTTGAGTTAGAACTACATCTGTTAAAAAATGTAAAAAATATATTTATATTATTCAGAAATTCATTGAAATAATAGAACCCACTGTAAGTTCTATTAATCCTTTAGAATAACCTAAAATAAGGCAAGCTTAAGAAAATGAAGATACTGAATAAGAACTAGCAGCTTGTATTTTCTAAAAACTTAACAAAGAATTTCAAATGGAAAGCTAAGAATAAAGTCAGAACTATCAAAACATACAGACAAAACATGCAAGATCTGGGGGAGTTCTGGTAAGATGGTGGAATAGGCAGAAAGACTGCACAGACCCCCTTCAAAAAAGAAGAGGGGAACCAACTCACACAGATACAGAAGATAATCTTGGACCCCCTGAGCCTTGAAGGGAAGGATACAGAAGTGGACTAAACTCCAACTAGCAGAAGAATTTTCATGAAAACACCAAAAAAGGAGACATACAGAACGGCAGTCTGGCAGTGATCCTGAAGGCACAGACCCCTTGGATATTGCCAAGTGGTGCTAAGACTTAAGAATTAACCCAAAAAGTGGCCCTGATAGCCAGGGACTGCACGGAGGACTGCTCTGATGGCTGGGGAATAAAAGAGAAAGCAGTGAAGAGGACGGCAGGCTGAACTGTGGACTTCTGTCTGTCAGGTGGGCACAGCCATTTGAATGTTTACAAACAGCATCTCCATTTTGGATATTTAAAGCTACAGCATCTTCCCATATTCCAGGGACTCGAGAATTTAAGACTGCTTTGGTGGCTGGGGAATGAAAGGGAAAGCAGCGAACAGGACAATGGGCTGAGCTGTGGACGTTTGTCTATAGGAGGGTGCAGCCATTTTGAATGTTTACAAGCGGCTTGACCATTTTGGATACTTGAAGCAACAGCATTCTCCCAGATTCCAGGGAATTAAGAACAGGCTCCACTTGCCAGTAACCCCAAGGACATTCTGGACCTGGACAATTGGAAAGGTGCAACATTCCCCTTGTTGCTCTTATACCCCACACCTACATGGTGAACGGTGGTGCAGCCATCCCTCACTCCCACCCACATTCTGGGCCAGCAGGAACTCCACCTCAGTCTGTGTGCTGTGACAAAGCTGGGTGCCCTGCCCTGCCCTCATGTTTTCTTTTTCTTTTTTCTGTTTCATAGTTTGTTGGGTTTTCTCTGTTTTAAAACTACTATTATTATTATTATTTTTGTCTCTTTTACTATTTTTCTTTATTCTTCCCCTCCCAGGTTCTAGATTTCAGGTTTTTTCTTTTCCCTGTTCCTGGCTGCTATCTGTCTGTCTGTCTATCTAATCTATCTATCTATCTATCTATCTATCTATCTATTTCTCTCGCTCTCTTTCTTTCTTTCTCATGCTTAACTCCGTTCCTTGCTTTTCTTTTTGCATTCTTCCCATTTTTTTCTTCATTATTCTCTTTCCCTACTTTTTTGTCTTATTACTGTCTCCCCAGATACATCTCTTTTTATTTTCATTTTCCTTCCTTTTCTTCTTTTTCCCTTTTTTCTTTTTTTAGTTAATGTTCCAGTGCAATTACAAAGTGTATTGTTTTGTCCATCTGCTTTTACGTTTTTGATAACTCTTCAATTGTTATTTTTGTCTAACTGACTAGAAGACAGCAACAGTCCCCATACAACACAATTATACCCACACATCCTGCAGCTTCACTTATGGAGAGCCACCACTTCCTTCTCCACCAACGGACCTACGATAAACAACCACCAAGAAGAGCCTGACTCACCCTTGACTGCTCCTCACAAACAGTTAACAGAGATCTAAATACAACAATGCCACGATGTCTCGGGGGCAACAGACCATCACAGTCCACACAAAGAAGCAAGATAAAGTGGTAGAAACAAGGGAGCAGGAGACAGACCAAGAACACATCCCTGAGGAAGAAGCAGCATCGTAACTCTCTGATAAGGAATTCAAAAGAATTATATTTCGGTATCTTCAAAGGATTGAGAGACAGACCAAGGAAAACACAGACAAAACCCTAGAAGAATTTTGGAAGAAAATACCAGAACAAAATGACAAAATAAATGAAAAATTAGAAATGATTCTAAATCTACAGATAGAAATCCAGCTTAATACTAAATTGTCAGAAATAGCACACTGAAAGGGCAAAGGAGTAGAAATGATGCAAGGGAAGACAAAATTAATGAGATTGAAGACAAATACCTGAACACATCTTTGAAAAGGGATCAATCAGAAAAAAGATCTAAACAAAATAAAGATAACCTAAGGTTCATGGGGGATACCATCAAAAGGAATAACATATATGTCACTGGAATTCCAGAACAGGAAAAGAAAAATAAAACCACTGAAAAAATTGTCCAAGATGTGTTGAAGGAGAGCTTCCCTGATACGATGAAAGAGGAGAATATATCCATTCAGGAAGTCCAACGAACCCCAAACAGGAGACACCCAAAAACAAAATCAACAAGACATATCATCATCAAATTCACCAAAACCAAAGACAAAGAAAGAATCATGACAGCAGCACAGGAAAATGAAAAGCTACCTACAAGGGGCAACCAATAAGACTAAGCTCAGATTTACTGACCTAAACCATGCAGGCAAGAAGACAGTGGGATGGTATATATAAAACACTAAAGGAGAAAAATTTTCAACCAAGAATTATATACCCAGCAAAACTATCCCTCAAATATGATGGGGATATTAGGACATTTCCAGATAACAGAAATTAAGGGAATTTGTTAAAACCACACCAACCTTACAAGTGATACTAAAGGGAGTCTTCTGAACAGAGAACCAAAAATAGCAAATAACAACCGACCATTTATACATAGACGACATAACCCAGAAACCACAGCTATTGTTGTTATGT